AATTATCGTTATAAGTTTTTCCTTTCCTGTTCTACTTACATGCCAGTTTCCATATAGTCTTTAAATCTCTCTGTATAATTATAATAAAGTTATTTCTATGCATAAATCAAGCGGATCACCATGGCGACAGCCGTACTGCTCCACTGGTGGAAGTAAAACCTGTTGGCCTCTTTCTGGCATCAAGACAATTATTCTTATTGCCAGAAAGGACACTAAAAAAAAAAGATTGTTAATCTCTGAGGGCTTCAGGATCCGGATCCTCCTGGTAGAACCAGAACCAGAACCAGAACCGGTCAATTTTATGAAAAAGACCAACATGACTTTTACTTCCTGTCAATAAAAGATGTTTGATCCTGAAAGTAGATCCTCTCTGCTAAATCTGAAGGAGGCGGGTCCAGATCTAAACCAGAACCAGAACCAGAACCAGAACCAGATGGTTTCTGCCACACCCATGGAATGATCAACATTCAGACTTTAGATCAACTCTTTGGGACAAACAGATGTTCTGATGGTTGAACCAGGACCCTGACCAGGACCCTGACCTGGACCAGGACCAGGACCAGGACCAGGACCAGGACCCTGCCCGTCATTAAAAATGACTAAAAACCAACTTCATCTCAGCTTTGTGGAAAATCCTCCTCCTGAAAAAGGACCTAAACGCACCACACAGTCGCTAAACATTTTAAACTGTTAAAAAAAGTAAAACCGGGCCGAACCGAACCGAACCGAACCGAACCCACCTCTTCCTGCTCCTGCCAAAGCGTTGATGACCAGAACCGCGACATAAACAGCCGCGCAGAGCAGGATCAGCAGGATCCTGGAGAAAATGTTGTCCTTCATCTTCCTGCGGCTCACAAACAAAGATGCGTTCAAGTGCTGCACGGAAAAAAACGCTTTCAACTCCGAGTTAAAGGCATTTATGCTGCCCTGAGAACTGTTTCCTGAACTCGTCACAGATGACTGACTGTTTCAGGCTATAATAAACCATTGAAGGTTTGGTAACAGCATCTGGTGTGACTCAGTGTTTATAAAACTGCTGCTTACCGAAAGGGGCGTGTCATCAAGAAGCCCCGCCCCTCTCTCTGGTATTTGAGCAGCACTGACCAACTGGCGCAGCTAAATAAGTTAGAAAAGTTGTTTCTAGAGCAGACTGTGAAGATCAGAGCAATGATCTCTGGTCAGTCAGTGAAATCAAAGTTATTAATTAAATTAATTCTAACCTAATGAAGCTAATTAGCAACCTGCTAATTATTTAATGCAGCTGTTTGTCTGATTGGGAAAAATAACCTTAAACTCATCAACCTGTTTTTTTTCCACCCTGGAATTAGCAGCTCCATAGAAACGGGCATTAGAGACACCAGTAGGGTCACCCCCCCCCCAGAAAAAAAGGGCCACCCGGCTGCCTTCACCCCTCCTGGCGTGGGTCTTTTTTAGCCCCCCTTTATGTGTGAAATTTATTTTTTAACTATTTATCTCAAATCTGCATTGAATTAGATGCATAGCTGTGAAATGTTGACATGAACACCTGGAGAATAAATTTACTGCAGCAAACCTGTAAACATTTGTGCAGGTGCCCCCGCCCCCCAGAAGCATTTCAATTCCTCTGTTCGTCCCCCATGCTGCTCTGTTGTCTCCCGCTATCTTCTGCATCAGCAACACTTGGCTCGACCAATGGGATGGGGGGGTTCTGGATCGTTACATATATGCTGTCAGCTCATTGGTCACAACGAAACTGAACCTGCTGGCTGAGGATGAGGTTAAATACAGTAAGATAGTTATTCAAGCTGGCGGGAATGACACCCGGTTACGCCGATCGGGGGTCACTAAGATTAGTGTTGCTCGGTGTGTAAGTTTGCCGAAACAATGTGGGACTGTGACAGGCTGTGCAGGAGGCAGGAGGCAGGAGGCGCAGGCTGCAGGAGGAGGCGATCGTCAGAGAGCTGTCACAGAGGCGGTGGAGAGCTGGCAGGCTGACTGGACCTGAGCTGCAGGTGGGAGCAGCCCGCAGAGTTTGACGCTGAAGCAATCAGTCCAGGTGTGCTTCGATTGAACCAGAGGTGAATAATTAGGAACTTTTCACTGGGAACCAGACTGAACTTTCTCATGGGGAATTATTGGTACCAGAATATGGGACCATCAGGCGATGAAGAGATGGCTGCAGCTGCTTCAATCCCTGACAGGTAGATGGGTTGGTGGATCTCAGGTGTTCAGACAGCTGGCCACGCCCACCTGCAGCGCTCCAGAGGAAATAGAAAAACGCTCCACACAAGAGTTCTGACAGTCTGGGTGGTGTCCTGAAAACAACGTGGGCTACATTAATAATTTCTCATGATCTTGGCAGTGATGTCTGGTCTGGTTATTCATTTCATTCACCTGCTTAGCTCCGCCCAGTTCTCATTACCATTCATCTTCTCCACCTGCTTCACACTCTATTTAACACGCCTTCCACCAGTCATCAGTGTGAGATTATTTAAGCCTGTGGTGAGAG